AAATAAATAAATAAATAAACAAATAAACAAATAAAATAAAATAAAGTAATTCTTTAAATAAAGTATACCCAGATTCTAACCACTTTTTTAAAAACTGCTTTTTAAAAATTACTTAATTTTTATTTATTATTACTATTACTAATTAATTTGACCAGAGAAAGAGAGAGAAACCGAAAGTGAGAAAGTCACCATGTCAGAGACTTGAACCTCAGCCATGTGGGAGTCCAACCACCTCAATCACCATGCCACCCACTAGCCCCAGTTCTAACCACTTACCATCTCCAACACTACCACAAGTTCTAGGCCTTGAAAATCGTCTCCTAACTGGACTTCTAGTGTTAACTCCCTTCCCCCCCACCAACCCAACCTGCTGCACACAACAGTCCTGCTAAAATGTAAATCAGCTTATACCCACCCAATATCCAAAACCTCCCAAAGGATATATATCCCTGTCATTTAAAAAGAGAATCTGTACTATTTATTTATTTATTTATTTGGAGAGGTTTTTGCCATAGGGCTTATGTGCTTGTCAGAGAGACAGAGAGTGAGAAATCACCCCCCCCCCCAGAAGGGATGGCCATACTGCAATTCCTTCTCCTCCATTCTCCTCTTGGTACCTTGGGCACGCATGCACAAGCATCCAGAATCCATACTTTTTATACAGCTATAAGGAAACTGTGATCTGGTTCCCCCCCACCTCTCTGACCAGTCCTATCAGTCCCCCATGCCAACTCTGTTCCACCCATATTCTCCTCTTTGCTCATTCTTGAACATCCCAAACACACCTAATCCTCAAGGTCTTTGTGGAAGAATATGCTTCCTCTGGATATCCACATCACTTCCTTTCTTCTAGGTCTCCACCCAAATGTCTGCTAGAAAACCCTTCTCTAACATTTACATCTTAATATCACAGACCATTCCTCTGTTTCCTTATCCTGGTACTTTCCTTCCTGTACACTCTACCACCTGATAGTTCATATCTATATTCATGCGTTATGTCATCTACATCTTCTATTGAGTGTAAGCGCTATGACACGCAGGACTTACTGCTGTTCACTACTCTATCCCCAGAACCTGTAGTAGGTTGATGCTCAACTAAAATCTCGAGTGAGTTAATGAATTAATAAAGTAATTTAGGGAACAAAGATAATGTATCTGGAGAAGGCTAAAAGGAGGATATAGTAAATATTTTTATTTAAACATTTGAAATATTGTTATATTGGATAGATAGGTTTAGTCTCTACTGCTTTAAAAAGCAAAACTAGTACTCATAGGTTGAAGTTACATGCTTTCAGAGTTTTTATCTAGTGTGATAAGGGACTTTCCAACAGTTCTGGCTAGCCAACAACGTACAGGCTGTCTTAAGATAAACTGAGATTCCTGTCCAAGGAAACTTTAGAAAGGAACTGGAAAACCACTTGTAAGGGATGTTGTAAAAATAAATCACTGACTTTGGGAGAGGAATTCCACTTGCTGTCCTCTGGGAGTCTGTGATTTGGGCCACTTCATGAGTTTTTTTGTTTTGTTTCCTTTCTAGTTAGAGAAACGGCTAGATAAAGAGCTGTCACTGCCTTTAGGGACAAAGATTCAATCATTAGTTTGCAAACATGGTTCCATTTCTCTGATGTTCACTCAGCATGGGTATCTTTAGCACAAACTGTAAAACCATGAAGCTCTGACTCACCGGCCTGCCCCTTTCCTATATTTGGTCATGTCACTAAGTCTAATACATTTAAGCCCTATAGGTTGTCTTGGGTAAAACAAAGATTCCATAGTTTTAACTGCCTCTGCCAAGTATAGCTTCAGATTTCTTTATTAGATCATGTCTTGGTGTGTCAGTGTGAACCATTTTGGAAAGAATTTGAGCAAAGACAATTCATAATTTTTATGTTGGAATGAACATATTATTTTCTATTCCAAAGACTAGATTCACCTCCCTCCTCATATTATTATTACTTAGGTATTTGGCCTCATGAAAAATATAGTGCATTTGGACATTTCAAAACACTGATCAATAAAAATGTTTAGCTTTCTCTTATCTATTTCTTACTTTTAATAAAATTTTCCACCATTTGAATACACTATGGGGAGTATTTTACTCATTCCCCACAGTAATTTTCCAGGTGAGAAAAAAAGTTATCTTCTGGTTAACTGAGTATTTGTATATGGTGGAACTAAAGAATTGGGAGGTTGTGTACTGTTATTCTTAGAACTCTGTATCAGTTCACCCTTTTGCCAGAGTGGTTCCTGGCCAACTTTCCCATGAGTTTTGAACCTCTTGCTAGGCTTTGCTTATGTAACAGGAAACAGGCTGTCAGGAACAAACAAATAGTGGCCTATGAGGCACACACTTACTAGCAAATGAGGTAGTGTGCTCTGCCCTCTACTCCCATAAAGTAGCCTGATACATAATCTCAACTTCAGGTCTTTTGGTATGGCATTCGTGCATTAACATTTG